AAATAAATAAATAAATAAAAAATTAAAATTATCAATGAGTCAGTCACGTTACGTCTTCAAGTCAGGATAATGTAGAGTGGCAGGAAGCTGCTGTTCTGGGACAGTAGGTTACAGTTGCAAGTTTGATGTTCATTATAGAAAGATAATGTAGCAATAACGTAATAAACTAATAAATACTTAAATGACTAATAAATAAATGATAGAAATATACATCAATGCAAAGAATGTCTCATTATTTAAGAAATCATTTTTTCTTTTTCCACTTTTCAGATTGGATGCGTTGAACTAAACATTGTTCTAAATTCCTGTTTGACCAGAGTGAGTAACAGTCAAAGTTCTTGTTTGGGGTAATTTTCTTCAAAATATGCTTGTCATTATTTAAAAATTGTTAAATCTAATAAGTGAACTGTGACTCAAGATAAAAGTAGTTGGAAAACCCATGCCCATTGCTGGAAAATGAGGAGCGCTGGGTCTGGCTAAGCAGAGATTAAAGCATGGTAGCAATTCAGGTGTCTTATTCTGGGGTGCAGCTCATGTTCTATTTTATTATCAATGATGAATAAAATAAAAATGAAAAAAATGAAAGATGAAAAGGAGATGCATGGATCAGCAGTGACCACCGGTGACGTGTGAGTCGTGGAGGTTGAATGTATGGCTGGAACTCGGGTCCAAGAAGAAGACAGTCTAGGCTGTATCTTTCTGAGAAATGGCAACAAGGGCTGAATTTTCCTTCTTGCAGGGACGCACACTGGGGGCGCCTGCTGACCTACACGGTGGCGCGCTTCACAGTTGCCTTGTGCACGGAGCGTGGGGATTTTCCTCGTTTGTTAGGATATCACACACTGCTGACCTAACAAGGAGCGCTAGCTCTCATCAGCCGAGGCCAGCCCCGCCTCGGGGCCAAGCAGGAGCATGCCTTGAGACATGAGACTGATTAGGGGGTTTTTCATCTCTAGTTTTTTTCCTTGAGTTTTTTACTAGGATACGTTTACGATGCGTGATGAAGAAATCAGTATACGCACACAGACACACAGACACACAGACTCACACACACACACCCGTTTGGGCCCTCTTCTCCCTCTCTTCCCTCCCCTCCTCGGTTCCCCTCCTCTCACTATCTCTCTCCGGCTCCTTGCTCTCACCACAGTTTCCAATCACCTCTCTTTAATTTTGCTTTTCAATGATTGATACTTTGCTCTTCTCATAAGAGAAAAGAATTTTCTAACAATGGAAATGCTGCAGTGATTCGATGGCTCTGGATGGATACAGGGATCCCTTAGAGCCTTTCTCTTGAGATCGTGTGATTCATGGTAATTATAGTTATTAGTGAAGTGAGAATCAATAAGGAAGTGGAGATTTGGATGAAGAAAATGACTGCTAAATCTGAAGCAGTGATTGCAGTCGATAGTATATAAGTCGTGCAGGATGATTACTAAGTACCTGAAACTCTGGTTCGCAGAAAAAGAAGGGCGGCGGTTTTTCTGGGATCATTTGTAAATCTATGAATTGATGGTGAAGATACATAAAGTGCTGGTCCTCTTTTATTTTAATGTCATCAATCCTATAGTATCATTATAAATTGATCCATGAAGGAAATACTGAATACCTAATTTAATAAATGGGCAGATGCTGACGCAGTCTTTAGCCACAAATTCATATGGTAAGGAAGGAAGGATGTGCGTGGAAAAGAAGTTGAAAACTTTAATCTCATTAAGGAATAGAGAGATCAAGGGTGTTCGCTCTGACTAATAATCACAGATACTGAGACATGAGAGCCAGTCACATTGCTCTGGGTCAGACATGTCACAATTCACTTTGATGAGCCAAGAATATTTTAGGAAAAGATTAATAAATACCTGCATAACTCGGTAAATGAGATGTGGGTGGAAAGGATGAAGAGAGATGTTGAGGTTTAGAATCAGCTGCTCCGCTTAGTTTCTCCTCAGAGTGTATGCCGTGGCAAGCTTTGTGGATTGTCACTGTTGCAAGATGTGTGGTGGCCTTTAGATGTGGACGTATAGAGAATGCTGTAAGCAGCAGTTACAGTTCTTGTGGTTTGAAGTTTTGTAAGGTTTGTGCGGGTGTGTTGGCACCCTCCTGTAATCCCAGCACTCTAGGAGGCTGAGGCAGGAGGCTGACCCGTGTGAGGCTCCCCTGGGCAATTTAGTGAGTGGAGCCCTGTCATACAATTAAAAAAAAAAAAAAAAGAGCTGGGAATGTAGCTGAGTTCCTGGGATCAATTCCAGTACTAAGAACAAACGAACAAAAAGTAACATAGGCTTATATTTAATTTTGAAAAATTTTATCCATTGTAATTGTATACCAGGTCTACATTTGTCAAGGGAGCTGATGCAGCTACATAAGGCACCCGGACTCCTTGTGTACCCCACCCCTACTTC